GGTACTGGGATGTGGCCTCATGACTGGTTCTCACCAATGGAACACAAGAGGAAGCAATGCTTGTCACTTCCGGCTGGGGGGTGTGGGTCTTAGGAGCCGTCTGCGCCTTCTTTACTCTCCATCTCCCCCTCCCCATCTTAATGGGAAGGTCTTTGAGACTCTTGGAAATGCAAAAGCCACCAATAGAAGGCATTTAAGTCTCTGGGTCCAAAAGAAGACTGCCACCCATCCACCAGCAACCTACCACTGGCCTGGGGCCTGAGTGAGAAATCGACATTTACGGTGCCATGTTTCTACTGCGAAGCTGGGGAATCGTTGGGCAGTTAGCGTGAGCCTAACTAACTCAGGAACTTTGAACTTGCTGTTCCCCCTTCGTGGAATGCTCTTCCCCAAACATCTGCGTGCCTTGTCATTTTCTTCAGGTCTCTGTTCACCTGCCGTCTTATCTGAGATGCTTTCCCAAATGACTCTAAATAGAAGAGCAAATCCCTTGCTAGCCCAGCACTATCCGCCTGGGACTGTCACATTTGTCTTCACAGCACACATCACCTCCAGACATGGTCTTTATTGACCAGCTTATTATTCAGGCCAGAGTTATCTGCCATCTTTCTCACTCTACTAGAATGCAAGCTCCCATGTGGCCCCATCACTTAGCACAGTGTAGAGGTACAATACATGTTTGATGAATGAACGAACAATCCCAAGGATTGTCTTCCTAATTATACACACGAGGATTCATGGGGGAAACAATAAGGTTTGGAGTAGATGGGGGGGAGGGTGGGGAGAAGAAAGAATGATACATGTGGGATGATTCTTTTCACAATTTTCTTTTAAAGATTGGCACTGAGCTAACATCTGTTGCCAATCTTTTTTTTTCTTCTTTTCCCCAAAGCCCCCCAGTACATAGTTGTATATTCTAATTGTAGATCCTTCTAGTTCTGCTATGTGAGATACTGCCTCCCCATGGCTGGATAATCACTGCCAGATCCATGCTCAGGATCCGAACCGGCAAAACCCTGAGCCACCAAAGCCGAGAGCAAGAACTTAACCACTTGGCCACGGGGCCCGCCCCATCTTTTCGCAATTTTTAATATTATGTAAAGTATTATTTATGCCAGAGACAGTACATACACTAGACATGTGGAGCCCCCGAGAGAAGTCATGGGGGTGTGGGCCGCAGGTGGCAGCAGAGAACTGCTCTGTGACAGGGAGCCAAGGGTGCTCAGAAGCTCAGGGAATGGGCATCGAAATTAGCCTGAGGGGTTGGGCGAAGCTTGCCAAAGGAGGCAACACCCAGGAGAAACTGACTGGGAGAAGAAGCCAGAAGAAGTGTTCCTGGCATCAGGGAGACCAGGAGACGTGCCGCGGCCCGGTGGTTTGAGGAGCCCTGAGCAGTCTGATACGGCGTGAACTCGCGGGCAGGCAGGGAGTGGGGTAGAGGCGGGCAGAAAGGCCTGTGGGGCCCAGATCATGAACAGACTTGCTTGTTATGCTAAGAAGCTTGAACTGTATCCTGAAAGCGATGGGAACCAGGCAAGAGAGGGCCAAGCAGGAGAATGGCACAATCAGGAGTACATTTTATAAGGTCCTTTCTGGCAGCAGCCTGTAAACTGGATTGGCATGTGTGTGAGATTAGAGGCCAGATGAGGCAAATATATCAAGATGTGCGGGGTGGTCCAGGATCCCAGCCCTAACTCCTGGGAGACAACACAAGTCGCATGGCCTAGCTCTAGACAACGGGAGCCTGAGAAGCTGTTTCCACTTTCTTCCTCCCTGTGCCAGGCGAGGGGGTGGGTGCCATCTGGGTCTAGTTTCATAAAACTGTGGGCTCCAGGAGAAGGCACTGGTCTCAAGCAGTGGCATCTCTGAATCCACTGAGCTCTGCATTCTCTCACTATCCAGCAGGGCCCCTGCAGGGATGGTGGACCTTGATGAATCACTGCCACAAACCGGCGCCTACAAACATGCCAGGAGCCTTGGGATCCGGAAAAAGGGAGGGCATTTGGGAGGCCCCAGTACTCAAGTCTGTCATGTTGTAACCTGAGTGTTTAGAGTCTGGGCATCTGAGGGGTAGCCAGAGAGGGGACATTTAGGGTGTCTAGGCGATGCAGTTGCATTTCAGATGAGTGGAGTTGGCATTCTCCAGTTAGGAGAGGCCAAGAAAGACAGGGGGATGTCAGCAATGGGTAGCTGTAGCCACCCAAATGTCAGCAGTAGATCTTCCAAGACCCTTGGTTTGCTCCCAGACACTTGGCACCATGCAACAGTGTCCACGTAGCAGCAGAACTCTTGATACTTTCATTTCCATCATCTCCCACGCTCACCAACCCATGGAGCACTTGCTGAGGGCTCCAGGAATGGGAGGAGAGTACAGTGGGGTGTCTCAGGGTGTGCTGAGCAGTGAGTGAACTCTAGAGGTCTGGCTTCCAGCAATGAGTCATGAAAGCTGGAAGAGGCTCAAGACAGCCATTGTTTCTCATATGGTTTGTGCTGTGGGAGAATCTTCTGCATTCAAGGAGCATAGAGAAGTTCCAAGGCTGGAGTGTGGACCACAGAAGGTGGGTGTGTGAGTGCAGTTGGAAGCAGAGCAAGCCATGTGGAGGATTTGACAGATGCCTGAAACAGAGGGTATTACTGCCCATGATTGGCTTTTCCAGGCTCTCTGTGGCTCTCGTTATACATGGCTGGCGTGGAAGTTTGAGTTAGAAGCTTAGAAGGGCTAACAAGCCATCTAAGCATAGTGGGAGGAGGAGACTGGTCTCCATACAAAGTGGGTCACCTTTCGTCTCCAGCCATCTGTTTCCATGGGCCCCTGGGGTCCAGTGTCACTGGATCTTCTGACTCTAAGAAAGTGGAAGACCCAGATTCTTATGGGATATCTCCTTTATCAGTCAATTTGTCTAGGTTAGGTTGCAGTAACAAACAGCCCCAAAAAGCAGTGGCTCATAAGAGTAAAGATAACAGTAAATGTACAGAAAATGTTCATTTCTGTTCCTGTTATGTATTGGCGCCTATGGCTCTGCTCTGTGTGCCTTTTTATTCCAGATCCAGGCTGAAGAGCAGACCCCATCCCGGACGTGCCCCCTCATGGCAGAAGGAAAAGAGAGCCCACAGACCCATGTGATTCTTCTTCAAGTATCTGCTCCCAGGTAGCACAGGTCACTCCTGCTCACACTCACCAGCCAAAGCAAGGACCCTGGCCAAGCCAGAGCGACCGAAAGAGGATAAACGCCCCCCAACCCCCAAATCTCACGGGGAGACATTGCTGCTCACATGGCCATTGGCGGGAGTGTGGTGAATAATTAGGGCAAGAGTATGATCTGCCATGCTCCCTCTTTTTAAATGTTGGCAGCTGAATCAAAAGTGTCATAAATGCTGGGCAGAGCCAAACAAAGCACAGGGAACCACGGCAGCCAATTTACAGCCCCTACTTTGTAGGGTCAGAGATGAAGTGAACAGTCTTGCTCTCTTCCTGAAACACAGATGCTGGCTCCGAATTCCCTGAGCTTAATAGTCCTTTCAGAAAGAGAAAAATCATTACTGTGCCTTAACATCATGGGTGAATCTATACCGGCTCCTAGCAATCACTATTTCCTTTCATAGATGCTCATAAATTTCCTTTTAAACAATTCATTCATAAACATTGCCCAGAATCCAGGTCGTTCGCCATTCTGTGATTTTCAGAGTTCCTCTTCTTCCATTTTTTACTTTCAGGACAACATTTGCTTGGGTCTAATCTTATAGCACCAGCTGTTCTCTACGGTCCCTCAAAGATTATTGACAGAACACAGCAATGACCTTTGCAAGATCTCTTAGCACCCAAGGGTTTAAATGGTTTCAGGCCAAGAAACTTGACGCCACTTCCAGTAGTAAGAAGCTCTTCCATATTCCCTTGGTTATTTCTTCGTAATGGGTGTGTCCTGGATGAAGCTGGGACCCACCGTTTTCTCTGAAATCACGAGCAGAATGTGAGGAAACTGCCACTCAAACCTGCATTGATCTTTGTCCAGAAATGAAATGGTAAGTTGAATCCTTCTGAACAGTCAACCCTTGGGTCCACTTCCTGGGTCATTTGTTATGTACTTACACACAGGTGAAGTGAGTGCCCAGTGTGTGCTCTCTGGATGGTGATTTTAGGTTTGGATGAATATTTTGGTTTGACAGCGTGTGTTTTTGCATACGATTGAGCCTGAGCTAAGTCTCTACCGTCTTGCTTTCAGAGAAGGGGAGAAATATTTCTTAACTCTACAAGAATGTAGTGAATTACAGCATTTGCTTACTCTTGCGGAGTTGAGAGTATTTTTTGCCTGAGCAATTGTTCGCAGGAGCTGAGGCCCAGGAGACTGTGAGGGACACTCAGGCAGAGGACTCACCTCTCCCTGGAGGAGAGACTCTAAAAGAGGACTGAGGACACTTGGAGCGCTGTAACTCATGGGACCCTTTCTGTCCTTCAAGCGGCATTGTTGAAGACTCATGACCCCAAAGCCTTTTGGACTTTTGTGTTCTGATGGGACTGTGCTACTGGTCACCACAGGACAAGATTTCAGGCCTGGGGGAGGGCTGGCTTTCCTGGGGGGAGTGGATGTCTATTGTCAATCAACAGAGAAGAGCAGGTGCTGGGATAGGAAATGAGCACGAGGAGGCAGGCCCTTTCCAGGCCTCTGGTTAGGCATAGCCAGGGTTCCAGGTAAAGCAAACCTGACTCCAGGGAGCTTGCAAATGGACAATTGTGCTGGCTCGTGCCACCTGACGGGAGGGAGGGAGCCCTGTAGGGACAGTGCAGCTTGTTCATGGAACACAGGCTCCTGGCCAAGGGGTAACACAAAGCCATGTGTCCAAGAACAGGGCCATGTCCACCCTGGTGTGGGGCTGCCCCCACCAGGAGAAAGGCATCACTCTTTCTTTCACACCAAGGTACCACCTACTAACCAAGCCCTCTGCCCACCAAGTGGGGTCTCCTTCCAATGCGTCTGTCCACCCGTGGGGCAGGGAGGGGGGACTCACTTTTTCTATTTTGTCAGCCAATGAACTTTCTTTTTTTTGGGAAGATTAAATTAATTTTATTGACTGATGAAAAACTAAAGTGATGAGAAGTATGGATCGTAAACAATAATCATTGAGTTCTGCTGGAAATCTATTTTTCTTCTTTTCACTTTAAGCCAAAAGGACATATAATTATAGACTGTTGGTGAGCTAATCATTTTAGTTTCTTCAACAAAAAACGCGTAGTTTAGCAGTTGCACAGCATTAAATATCCACATTTTTGCCGAACCCTGACACTCCTGATTTTTGTGTTGACCTCACAGGCTAATGGAATCACCTACACTGTCGGCTTCAGACTTTCTTTTCCCTTTTCTGCCACCCTGATATTTGGCTAATTCTGCTTATAATACTTTCACTTTAGATCTTTCTTGTTCCAATGCAGCATGAAGGCAAGTCACTTCCCATACAGGCATCTTCTACATGCAACGAACACCATGGGCCTGCTCAATTACGTTTTTGTAATTTGTACAAAGACATTGGAAATCTGGGCCTGAGAACCCCGAAATTAGCAACATCTTTGTACTGTTGTTACTTATTCTCCGCCTTGTTCCTCTTTTATTTTGGAATGTTTAGTAAAGACTTGTTGACAGTTGCAGATTGATGAGCTCCTGCTATCTGCCAGGGACCCGGACCCTGGGGATACATAGTGACAAAAAAACCAGACAGAACTCCCTGCCCTGGTGCAGCTTGTGTCCCGGAGGCAGGGTTGATGGGTCCCAGTTGTGTGCCGAGGGACTTAGGGAATGCTGCATCCCGTGCTTCAGATGCAAAGGCGGAGGGCAGCTGGCACCCCTCTCCCCGAGCCTTGCCTGGTGGTACCAGCGGTGGAACTGGATGGCTGTGGCCTGCAAGAGGGTTAGTCTCTTGATTATCATTAGCAGCAAGGGAAGATGTGGGCGGTAGACAGACGTTCGCAGCCTGGCACCCTGGGCATCTCAGAAGTATCGGAGGCATGCAGCGAGGGGGCTAAATCCTGCTGCGTGGGGACTCTACATTTGTGAGGGGTATGTGAAGGCTGCTCATAGCAGTTCTACACGGCTTCATTCCCTCTAACCAGCACTAATTCTGCTTTTCCAGCCTGAACATCAGTCTTCTTGACTGAGAATTTGGAAGTAAAGTGCAATTTGAGGACTTCTGCTTTCTGGCTATCATCTGTTAACAAAATATAATTAGTCCCATTTAGCCCCAATTAGCCTCCCTTTCCTATGGAGCTGTTGCTCATTGAGAGTCTCTGCTCATGGAGACCTATTCTGGACATTTCTAACCCTTCTCGGGACGTTTCTAAAACCTGCTTTCCCAACAGGTTCAGGGCCCTCATCTGCTTGGGTCCTGGATGTCAGTGGCTTTGTAAAGGCCAGCTCCTCTCAGGGTCTCTGTCACTTCCACTTCTGCAAGGCAGGATGTCTGGAATTAGGTTCAGGGGAGGAGTTTTTCTCATTTCTGTCTTTAAATTATGAGAGATGAAACTGTCAGCACCACGAGGAGAATTGATCAGACACCCTGGGTTCAGTAGAATGAGTTGCCCAACTACCCCCACTCCGTCTTGCTGCCGTGCCAGCATTGTCAAATGTGCCATGGGGGCCTGCTCACGCCTCCAAGCCCTGAGGGCAGAGCCACCTGCATGTGGACAGCAGGCATAAAAGTGATGGCTCGGCAGCAGATGGCTATCTGGTGGAATGCCATGTGAGCCTTTGTGTCTGCAGACTCTCGGCCGCTTGCCTCGTCTACATACACCCCAGCTAATCTACTTCCAGTTTCTAGCGTCTGCTCCTGGGGTCCCCCCTGTGTCTCCCTGTGTCTCACTCTTACGACTTTCTTTCTAGATTTGACTCACTTGTGTCACCTGGCTTCTGCCCTTAGATTGACCTTGAGCCCATATTTGTCTGCTCTTGAGTTGATCCGTTTTGCAACCAGTGTGATTTGTGCTCCCAGTGTGCCCGTGCCTGGCTGCTTCCTGGCCTGCCTTGCTGTGCTTTGAAGCCTCTGATCCTTGCTCCCAGGGAGCTAGCCCTGCCCCTCTGCCCCAGCCTAGCAGGTGGGTTGCGGCACTTCTTGGGGGCACATCATCAATTACTTATATCTGGTTGCACAACCCACAGCTAGTGCCACAGTCTCATTTCCCTTTCTCTCCCTCTCCATTTCCCTCTCTGCCCTCATGGCTTCTGGATTTCCACGCAGGTGCTCTCTTCTTAACATGTGGTCACCCTTTCCTCCCCTTCCTACCAGCTCTGTCTTTTAAAAAGGAACTCTTCCATCGCTGCCATCCCAGCCCATCCTCCAAGGCTCATGAAACCAGCACAGTAACATTTGTCTCCCTGAGCTAAAATCTTAAGGTCACTTTTTTCAGTTTCTGTACACTGTACCCTGAGGTGTAGACTTCCAAGACTGCAAATTTTATTCTCCCTGGTTATTTTGTTCCTGAGAATTACCAGACTTTTCCACCTTTCTTCTTGTTGATTCCATTTCTTTTATTTTATCAAGCTCTGTAATTTTGCTGCCTTAGCTGGTGCTTTGTTTAGGATATTTTTTGGTTTTGAAAAAATGACAGAAAGTGAACTCCAAGAAGCTTGAGAGATAGAATTTGTGGACTCATGTAGCCCAATGAAGAGGGGCAGGAATAAGGTTGGCACCAGTGATGACTAGACCTGGCCTGGACACTCTCGCGACACTCCTCATGCCTCCTTCCTGCTTGCAGAGTGGCTTTATGCTCTTCAGGTGGTTCTCCTCTCAAGGCCGGAAGCGTGGACACCAGCAGCTCCAGGCTCACAGGTTCCCAGCTTTGCCATTGGACAGGGCAGGGCTTGCTTCTCAGTTCAAAAGCCCTTGGAAGCACCAGGTTGGGGTCTTGGGTGATTGGGTCATCTGTGAGAACAAGGGCAAATTAGAAAAGCCCTTACAGAACCTCATCGTTGGGGCACAGTCTTAAATAAAAGGATGACTGGCCCCAGAAAAAGAAGAGTTATTCGCAGACAAAGAATAAATGTTCACTAGGGACCAAGGTTAAATATCCTGGCTCTGACCATCCCTCATCTGTTCCTCCATAAGCCCCCTCTCCAAAGCTGGGACAAGGCTTCCAGTCCAGAAATCCTCCTACGTTGGGGTATTGTTGAGAGTTCTCTGGAGAAACAGAACCAATAAGGGATGTATATACAGAGAGATGTACTGCAAGGAACTGGCTCCCACAATCATGGAGGCTGAGAAGTCCCATGACGTCTGTAAGCTGGAGACCAGGGAGCTGGTGGAGGAGTCTCAGTCCAAGTCTGAAGGTCTGAGAAAGAGGAGAGCTGAGTCCAAGGGCAGGAGAAGGCTAATAACCAAGTCCAAGCAGAGACAGAGAGAAAGAATTCCTGCTTCCTTGACCTTTTGTTCTCTTCGGGCCCTCAGTGGATTAGATGATGCCCACCCACAGCGGGGAGGGCACCCTGCTATACCGAGTCCACTGATGCAGACGCTAATCTCTTCCAGAAATGCCCTCATAGACACACTCAGAAGCAATGTTTAGCTAAATAGCTGGGCACCCTGTGGTCTGGTCAGGTTGACGCATAAAATTAACCATCACACCTGGCAACTTGGTTATGGACAGTTTGACCCCAGCACAAAAAGCTTTTTGTAGGTAAAATGTGGTGGGAGCATGTATTGGAAACAATGGTGGTGGGAATAGAGAGGGGAGAAGAAGACTAGATGACATTATAGTTTTTACACTGAGAGAGGTGTTTAGTGCTAGAGCTGTGGTTTTCAAAGTTTCAAATGCAGCCGAACCCTCTTTATTTATCACAAAGGAAACAGCACTCAGAACCCCAATATGCAGAACAGAGAAGAGCAGAGCTGCTGTAGTTGAAGCTTTCCTTGTGCCACCCTCCACGGGAAACTTGGCTCCTCAGGACTCAATGAGAAGGTGACTGTAAAAGAAGAATATGTTGGAGCTGGCCCAGTGGCATAGTGGTTAAGTTTGTGCACTCTGCTTCGGCAGCCAAGGGTTTGCAAGTTTGGATCCCGGGTGCAGACCTAGCACTGCTCGTCAAGCCATGCTGTGGCGGCATTCCACATAGAAAGTAGAGGAAAATTGGCACAGATGTTAGCTCAGCAACAATCTTCCTCAAGCAGAAAGAGGAAGAGTGGCAACAGATGTTAGCTTAGGGCCAATCTTCCTCACCAAAAATTAAGAAGAAGAAGAGTGTGTTATAGTCTCTGTAACTTCCTTTGAAATGCCTCAGTGTTGACAATGTGACTTGTATGTGTGAGATCTAGATTTACTCTGCATCCAAGGGATGGTCACTTCCTGTAACTGGGAATGCATACCCCAGGGGTGGTTAGCTAATATTTACCACAAAAGCCATGCTCCAGAGGCAGGAACTCTGAGTTCTTCAGCTATGGTCACCTCCAGTAATCATCAGAGGCCTCCTAATGAGTATAATGAACGTTTAGAAATGCTTTTTTGTTGGTGACATGAGTAAAGGTCAAGAGGTGAGGATCAGATAAAATGTTATAGAGATGCTCCCTGCCTTGTAGGAACAGGATATAAGAATCCAGCCAGTGCTTACCTTTTACCTGGGCTCAATTTCTAAACAATCCTGGGTGACAGGATTCTTGTTTGCCTGACTCCAACCAGATGGTCAGCAGAATTTGGCCTTTAGAATATTATTCTTTGCTTCCTAGAAGTTTTCTGTGAAATGTTCTGTCGTAGCTCCTAAAAGGACACAGAACCGGATCTTCGCTGAGATTACAGAAGAGGTTTTGTGATGGTTTCCTCTGCCTGCTGGATGATACATGTTTGTTATACGAAGCAGGACTTACGTGACACTCACCCTTGCTGTAATCTAGTGGCAAGGTCATAAAGAAGAAGAACCAATAGCTTCCCCTATCTTAGGTTGGAGCCAACTTTTGTGAGATTGAGACTTGCGTTTTGAGGGCCTTCTTGGAGAAAAAATATTTAAAATTACAAATACAAAATTAGGTACAAAAGTGAATGTTTATACAGAGTGAAGAAAGAACATATAACATTTCAAATTTTAAAAAATTAATAAATGCCACAAAAATTCAGAAAATAATGCAATATTTTTGTTAGTTAGTGGCTGATATAACTCGATAAGATATATTCCTACATTCTTTGGCCTCTAACTCTTTGATGGTCTCTTCATGTGACAACTATTTTGTAACATTTTCTGTAGAGAGAATAAAATAATTCAGTTCTTCCTCTAACTTGGTTGATCAAAAAATTTTTGCGTTATTAATTTTTAAAATTCATAAAATATGCAACTTCAATGAACATGTTCCCTGTAGTTCTTCCACAGGACTTGTGCTCTATAAATAGAAGAATTTTGATCAATTTGATTTTGCATAATCTCTTTGAAAAAGAAGAAAATGCTTGGAGTGTTTGTAATTGTATATACTGCATACAGAGTATGTTCCTAACAGAATTTCTTTTTTCTAAGAATTGATGAGAACCAAATCCTCCAAGTATAATTTTATATGCATTGACTGGAAGAAGTTTCCACAGATTAGCTTCTGGCTTTGCACATAAAAACTTGTTTTTCTTCCCCTTTCTGTATCTAGTGCTGGGTGCCGTGGAACAGATTCACATCACAGTAGGCTCTCTGGTCCTGCATCTTCCCATCATGTCAATGGGGAAGTTTGCCCAGCGGGTGGTAGGAGTATTTCTGCACAGGACAAGAGAGGAACAAGTTAACTACACATGGAAATGTCTGCAGACCACACAAATACATCCCACCAAACCCAAACTAAATGTATTACCAACTCAACTCAAGTTCAACATAACTAGATCCCCAAAATGCTTATGGCTGCTCAACACCACTTGACAACAGGAGATTGGCTGAAAGGAATTCATAAAGGCAAGAGAGAGAGAGAGTACCTTAATTGATTGTAGTTCAAATATCTGTCCTTTGTGAAATTTATAAAAACTTCTACCATATAAACAGATTGCTAGGGACCTGCCTAGCATCAAATGAGAGCTCTCATATTTAATTTCATTTGTTTCATGGTACATTGCTTCTGCACCAAACTCTATTGAGAGTTACCAATATTTACCGAATTGGGAACAGCCAAACTGGCTTAGGTGGGTTTGCAACAAAGAGAATAAATGGAAGACAAGACTTTTTCCATTTATAAGCTCCTGCTGATTATCATCAGCAAAATAGTTGTATATAAAATAACTGCCAAAAAATTGTACAAAACTCCAAGGCCATAAGTGCTTGACAAGCAGTGTGTAGGTCCACACCTGGGATCTGAACTGGTGAACCCTGGGTTGCTGAAGCAGAATGTGTGAACTTAACTGCTGTGCCACTGGGCCAGCCCCAAATTAAATTTCAATATGACTGTTTATGGCCATAGTGGAGTAACAGGTACACAACTAGTTCTCCAAGTGTAAATTACTAGGAAACTACACAAAAAAATATATGAAATAGTTCTTTTCAGATATTCAACAACAGATATTTCAGGAGTGGGATTCCCAAGAGAAGAGAGTCAAATGAGATGAGCCCTACTATAGCCCTGGCCTTTCACTTCAATACATTTCCTGGACTGGTGTGCAGAAAGGGGGAATCCACACAGAGTATGACAATCTCACTGAGCTGAAGAGTCAGAGATTAAGGTTCAGGAAGGCTGAGGCAGCTGGAATCTGTGGGGCAGGGTACCAGAGTGGATGATCAACACAGAGAAAGAGCTCCAGAAATCTGCAGAGGACCCCCATAAATCTTTGGCTGAATAATAAGATGCACATGTTTGGGGTGAAAACTCCACAAACGCAGGCAAAAGATAACTATCAAGGAAAGATAAACTGTGAAGTGCTATAAGCTGAACGACTACCAGAGCTCACACAGGATTAGGAGATATTTCAGATCAGCCAGAATGGAAAGACCTTATTGAATATCTGGGGAGTTCAGGTGAAACTCCAGAAAGAGTGCACTTTACTAGTAGGGGTAAACTTGTTCTAGAGCAAAGGCTACTCCAGACCTGACCTAAAAAAGCCTCAAAGGGATCAAATTGATCTGAAGTTAAATCAACTTCTTATCAGAGCTAAACTCAATACTCTTTAAAGGAACACAAGAAAATGTAGCAATGTAACATTTGCAGTAACCAGCATCCAATCAAAATTACACGACATGCCAAAAACGAGAAAATGTAACCCACTATGAAGAGAAAAATCAGTCAATAGAATCAGATCTAGAAGTGACAAAGACAGAATTAGCTGACAAGGACTTTAAAACAACTATTATAAACTCATTCAAGGAATTAAGGGAAAACACGAACATAATGAAAAGGTAAATGGAAATTATAAAAAGAAACAAATAGACCTCCCAGAGCTAAAAACAAAACAAAACAAAAACTCAGTATCTGAAAGAAAAAACCCTCTAGGTAGGCTTAATAGCAAATTGTACATTATGGAAGAAAAGATGAATTAACTTGAAGGAAGTGAAATAGAAAATATTCAAATTAAAGCACTTGGGAGAAAAAGCTGAAAAAAAATAAGTGAACTGATCCTCAGTGACTTATGAGACAGAATGTCCAGAAGGAAAGGAGAGAAGGGGAGCGGCAATACAGAAAAAAATATTTTAAGAAAGAAAGGCTGTGATCTTCCAAATTCAGTAAAAAATATGAACTTACAGAGCCAAGTTCAATGAACCCTATGTAGAATAAATTTGATGAAACCACACAGAAAAGGGGAAAGGAAAATCAGTTTTCATATTATGCGTAAATATGTAAAGTGGTATACTATTTAAAGATAATCTATGATAAGTTAAAGGTACTTTCCGTAAACCCTAGAGCAAATTCTGAAAAAAGAGAAAAAGCTAGAGTCAGACCCTGTGGCCTAGCGGTTAAGTTCAGTGTGCTCCACTTTGGCAGCCCAGGTTCAGTTCCCAGGAGGGGACCTACACCGCTTGTCAGCGGCCATGTTGTGGTGGTGGCCTATATACAAAATAAAGGAAGACTGGCACAGCTGTTAGCTCAGGGAGAATCTTCCTTAGCAAAAAAAAAAAGCTACATCTAGTGAGACAATAGTGTAAGTAAAATGAAATACTAAAAAGTTTTCAATCCAAAAGAAGAGATAGAAAGAAAACAAATAATAGATGGGACAAATAAACAGTTAATTGACTTAACACAGTGATATCGACTATTCCATTAAATATGAATGGACTAAATTTGTCTATTAAAAGGCAGATACTGGTATACTGGGTAGAAATATAAGACCCAACTATACGCTTTCTAAAAGACTTGTCATTTTAATATAAAGTTACATATAGGTGTTAAAAAAAAGAAATTAAGTTGAGTAAATTTGAAGATCTAATTGGCTTTATTAAACAATTTATGAATTGGGCAGTATCTCATATGGTAAGCAGAGAGATACTCCTAGGGGATACACAACATGGAAGACTTTTATGGTAAGGAAGGAGGGGCAAGGAAGTCATCAGAAAAGGAAAAATGAAAGTTCATTGGAGGAAAGTAAGAGTTCAGGTGATGATGACTTCCTATTGGCTGAGCTGCCACGTTTCTATTGGCTGAGCTTGTTGTTGGGCAAGAAGGAAATCCTTTCTCCTGTTGGAGCAGTAAACTAGTGACACTCCCTGTATGGGTATACAAGGTACTGTCGCTTCCTGTTGGGGTCTGTAACTGATGCTGTAATAATCTGCTGCTGTAGTTGATGTCTTCCTGCTTGAAGTAATTGACTAAGAGTGGTAGGGCATGTGACCTCACTCTACAGACTTTCCAGAGTCTAATTTTAATTGAGTTTGCTTTATTAATTTTAACATAGATAAAAAGTTAAAAGATAGAAAAAGATATATCAGGCAAATAGTTGTTATAAGAAAGCTAAAGTGGCTACATCAGTATCAGAGTATCCTTCATGGTAAGAAATATTTCCAGAGATAAAGAGAAATGTTTCATCAAGATAAAAGGATCAATTCATCAAGAAGACATACAATATTCAATGTTTACACACCTAAAAACAAAGCTTATAAATACCTAAAGAAAAAACTGACAGAACTGAAAGGAGAAATAAACAAATACAAAGTATAGTTGGAGACTTCAGCAGTCCTCTCCCAGTAATTGATAGAACAAGGAGACAGAAAATCAGTAAGGATGGAGAGGATTTGAACAATACTATCAACTTATTGAATCAAATTGATATTTATAGAACACTCCACATAGCAACTGCAAAATACACATTCTTTTCAAGTACACATAGGATATTTATCTTAGAGGACACAGAAGAGCACAGACTGAGCCAAAAAACATGTTTCAATAAATGTAAAAGTGTTCGAATTATACAGAATATGTTCTCTGATCAGATAATATTGGAATTAATTTAGAAATCAGTAACAAGAAAAAATCTGTAAAATTAACAAATATTTAGAAATTAAACAACATCCTTCTAAATAACCTATAGATGAAATTAGAAAATATTTTTGGAAACTAGAAAACATGTTCAATGTTAATTATATTTAGATAGATAGCTAGAGAGATCTAGATATCAAAATATGTGAGATGCAGCTAAAGAAGTGCCTAGGGGGTCATTTATAGCTTTAATGCCTGTATTAGAAAAAGAAGAAAGGTTTAAAATCAATGATCTAAGCTTCTACCTTATGAAATTAGAATAAAGAGCAAATTAAATCTCAAGTAAATAGAAGAAAAGAAGTGATAAAGATAACAAAAAGCAGTGCAATACTGGGGCAGTCCCCATGGCTGAGTGGTTAAGTTTGCCCGCTCTGCTTTGGTGGCCCAGGGTTTCACCAGTTCAAATCCTGGGTGCAGACATGGTACCACTCGTCAAGCCATGCTGAGGCAGCATCCCACATGCCACAACTAGAAGGACCCACAACTAAAAATACACAACTATGTACCAGGGAGCTTTGAGAGAAAAAGGAAAAATAAAATCTTAAAAAAAAAAAGTCAATGCAATAGAAAACAGGCAAACAATAAAGAAAACTGAAAAATCCAAAAGTTCACCCTTTAAAAAAAATCAATGAAATAAACTTTTAGCAAGATCAATCAAGAAAAAAAGCAAAAACATAAAAACAAGTATCAGTAACGAAAGAGAGGACATCACTACACATCTTACAAACGTTAGAAACATAAGGGAATTGTGATGTTGTGATTTATAATAAGAAACATATTTGGTCTTCATCCCCATTCCTGGCACAGAGCTCCCAAAACCCTTAGAATTTTCTGCTATCAGAGCTACGAAGGTGTCTCTTGTTATGTAATGAGGTGACTTCTGGAAAGTCCCTAGGCGACCTAAGGATGGGGGCTGATTGCCAGGATAACTAATCATGTGATCAGAGGGTTGGAACTTTCAGTTCCACTACCCCATAGACTTCCAGGGAGGGGGAGGGGCTGGAGGTTGACTTAGTTGCCAGTGGCCAATGATTTAATCAATCATGCCTATGTAATGAAGCCTCTACGAAAACTCTAAAGGATGGGGTTTGGAGAGGTTCCTGGCTGGTGAACGTTTGGAGATTTGGGGAAAGTGGCACATTCAGAGAAGACGGAAACTCCATGCCCCTTCCCACATAACTTGCCCTACACAAGTCTTCCATTTGGCTGTTCCTGAGTTACATCCTTTTATAATAAACTGGTAATCTAGTAAGTAAAATGCTTCTCTCAGTTCTGTGAGCTGCTTTAGCATATTAATCAAACCCAAGGAGGTGGTCATTGGAACCTCTGATCTATAGCTGGTTGGTCAGAAGCACAGGTGACAACCTGAACTCGTGGTTGGCCTCTGAATTGGGGAGGGGAGGCAGTCTTGTAGGACTGAGTGCTTAACCTGTGGGATCTGATGCTATCTATCTCCAGGTAGATAGTGTCAGAATTGAGCTGAATTGTAGGACCCCCAGCTGACGTCAGAGAATTCTTTGGTGTGGGGAAAAAAACCCCACACTTTGGAATTGGTGAAAGAATCAGTAGGAATACTATGAACCACTTTATGACAAAAAATTTAATAACCTAGTCAAAATGGACAATTTCATCAAAAACACAAATAACCGAAAGTAACACAAGAAACAGGAAATCCGAATAGCCTTATGTGTATTAAAGAAATTGGATTCATAATTTCAAATATTCTGACAAAGTAAACTCCAGGCCTAGATGGGTTAAAAAATGAATTCTATCAAACATTAAAGGAGGAGATAATACCAATCTTAGACAAAATCTTTCAGAAAATAGAGGGGGCAGGAAACACTTCCCAACTCATTTTATTAGGTCACCATTACTCTGATATCAAAACCAAAAACATTAAAAGAAAACTGCAGACCAACATCCCTCATGAACACAGATTAAAAAATCCTTAAGAAAATATTAGCAAATAAATCCAGAAATATAGTTAAAATGATAATATATTATGACTGAATGTGTTAATTTAATATCTGAAAATCAATCAATATAATTCACCACATTAACAGAATAAGGAAGAAAAATCATATGATCATTAGAATCTATGTAGAAAAATCATGTGATAAAATTCAATGCCCAGTAGCAATTAAAAAAAAACCAGCTCAGCAAACTAGGAATAAAAGGAAACTATCTCAGCCTAGTAAAGGAATCTCTGAAAAACATGAGCAAACACTATAAGGTAATATTGAAAGACTCTGTACTCTTCTACTAATATTAAGATCAAAGAAAGACTATTTACTCTCACCTTCTCCTCAACATTGTGTTGGTGTCCCAGCCAGTGATATAAGACATGAAAAAATAAGCAGATAAAGCCTTATAGATTAGGAAAACAAAGTTAAACTTTGCTATTCCTTGTGTACCTAGAAAATACTAACATATCTACAAAAAAATCTACTACATTAATAAGTGAGTTTAGTAAGGTTGCAGAATACAAGATCAATATACAAAATAAATTGTATTTCTGTACACTAGCAGAAAAAAGTGGAAAGTAAAATATAAAATGCCATTTACAGTAGCATCAAAAATAGAAAATACTTAAAAATGAACTTAACCAAACATGTACAGAACCTATACACTCAAAACTATAAAAAAAAACTGTTGAAAGAAATTAAATGAGACCTAAAGAAATGGAGAGAGATACTATGTTTGTGAATTGGAACACTTTTGTTTTGTTTGTTATTTTTTTGCTTTTGTTTTTTTTTTTTTTTAGCAATTGTAGTGCTGAACTTAAAATTTATATGGAAATGCAAAGAACCTATGTTAGCCAAAACAATTTTGAGAAAGAAATTCACAATTGGAGGACTTAAGCTATCTGATTTCAGACTTACTTTAAAGCTACAGTAATCAAGATGTATTGTCTGTGGCTGCTTTCTCACTATGGCAGCCACAGAGTTGCGTAGTTGCGACAGGGACCATATGGCCCACGAAGCCTAAAATATTTACTTTCTGGCCTTTACAGAAAGAGTTTTCCCACCCCTGGGATAGATGATGCTTGTATATAAGACGCACTCCCATGTACAATTCCTGGCCCACTAGGCATTATTCCACCATTTTCTCTGCTACTTATTATAGCATATCAGAATGCAGGTGAGTGAATATAATTTTAGAAGTAATATTTAATCCCCTTCTAATTTATTTTAAAATATAAACTGTTCATAAATTATGGCAGCTTATAATTAATAATACATTGTTGGCAATATCCCTTACAACAGCTCACAAAGCTATGGTTGAAAACTGCTCCTACTAGGATGAAAATAATTACACATTAAATTTGCATAGTATATAAATGTGTAAATGAGCATAATGTCTTACTAGACCCATTTTATAAATGAGGAAACTGACTGTCAAATGCACCTATGAGAGCTTGCTGTAGGTGATGAGGGCGTGGATAGGAACAGCAGACCAATGGGACAGTGGGATGAAGAGGTACAAATTGGTGATTGGTGATGGATTGGATGTAGGTTATGAAGACAAGAGTGTATTGAAAAAATAATTCTGAGGGTTATGGTGAGTCTGGGTTTTTAGATATAGTTGCTTTTGACCTGATGGGAAAATTGTGAAGAAATATTTATTTAGGCATCGAGAGCAGAAAGTCCATGAGCTCAATTTGCAACTGCTTAAAGCAATGTGTTTCAAATTAATGAGCTTGCTTGGTCATCATGTTAGAACACAGATTGATTCAGTAGTTTGAGGACAAGTCCCAAGTTTCTGCATTTCCAATAAGTTCCTAGGTGATTCTGATATGGTGACTCAGGGACTACACTTGGAGTAGCTAATGGAAATTCAAGATTTCTTCTGGAAGATAAGGGGAGGGTCCTGACAGGGCAGTGCTTTATATGCATTTGGAAGGAAGGAGTCTATTGGTCTCTAGAGGCAAGATAGAAAAGGGCCTGCAATCTCGAGGGCATCCTCAATGCAGAGAAGAGGAAGATCCAGGGCAATCAAAGAGAAAGAGTAAGAGCTGTCAGAAAAAAAAGGAGAACCAGGAGAATTTAGTGTCATATGGAATCGTATGGAATACTGTGTTTCAAGGAGGAGGCCGGTAGAATTCCAACATATAACTCATTCTTCCTACCATCTTCCCTGGCTCCTTTCACGACTTTATTTGTTCTATTTTTTCCAACCCTCGCTTGGCTGTACTAAATGGTTATTGGATTGTCTGTCCACCCCTTTTGCTAGGAAGGACTCTTCATATCAATATGGCAACCATAAAAGCTGCCACGTTTTCGTATGAACCTGTGCCCCTTCCATCACTTGGTCCAGGCATGGGCACCTGATCACAACTGGACCAATCACAGTTCTTCCCTGGGATTATTCAAAATAGGACTTGATAGTTGCAAAAATTGTTAGGCACAAAACAGTCTCTATAGTGGTGAAAGGTGTTAGTTACAAAATCTGCTGGTTGTTGCCTGCCGTGTTAGAAAACAGCACAGAGAAAAATTAAAGACAAATTAAGATAAAAAAAATTAAAGGTGATGGAAGAGAGCCCAGGCAGGGTTCCAGTCCGTTCCAGCTGTTCCCAATCCCAGCTACAGCCCTTCCTTTCCCATGATTTTGTTATTCAATGCTCCCTTCTGTGACCCAGAAAATTCCTCTATTGCCTAATCGAGTTGAGTCACTTGCAGCAGAATCCTGACTAATACCCAGCAAAGCTTTTCCCAGACATTTTCTCTTATACATCATTCTCCTTGGGCCTCTGCACCCTGTTGACTGCAGCCTTCCCTAGGTACTTGCACAGGATGACGCCAGGCCAGAACCAGCTGCTGGGCAAGGACCATAAACCCCAGCATTGGTCTTGGTGGATGTTAATGTGTCACTGAACACCAGTGTACCAAATCCATGTGTTCATGGCAACAGCCAAAAAAAGCCCACAGAAGTCTACTCTTCAGTACACAGGGGCCTCTACTGGCAGATTTTTAAGACCCTGGGGGCAGAGCTTAATGTGCATAACTATTTGCAATGCACAATTTCCTTTTTACTCATTTAGACTAAATTAAATTCATTTTGGAATTCTTAAAGTTATTGCTTGTTGAGTTCTCCCCGCTAACTTCCCGTTCGAAACACATTTTCCCCAAACTGAAAGCCACTCCCATCTCTGGCTCCCTGGATGCTTCAGATCCCTGGAGAGGCCCTATTCCTCCACAGTTCGCTGGGATTAGCACAATAAGTTAACTCCTTCACTGCTGGGAAATCCAAAAAACAAAAAATAAAACCTGCTGTTTTGCAAAAAAGCAAATATTGCTAGAACTTCCCACTCCCCCCCCCCCCACCAACACACACACACGCACACCCCCCCCCCAGCCCCAGGCCTGGCTGAGAGCAAGAGGCCCCCTCCCACCAGCCCTTCACAGACAGAAATGCTGGCATCCGTAAGCTGTCACTCTGAGGAGGACAGCAGCTGTGTTATTCTATGATTTATGGAGCAGATTTGCATTTCCTTGCCTTTGAAGCTTGCCTATAATCTGCCACATAAATATTTGAGAGACAGGATGGTGGAAACAGACCTAAGCAGCTTAATCGAACGCTTGGCAGGTAGGGGACTTGGGCTGGTGTTCATTTCAAACAGCCCCATTGCCCCGGGGCCTCTCGGTGTGGGTGTACAAAATTGAAATTCAGTGTTTAAACCCAACGCTACAGTCGAAATCCCACTTGAAGGAAAAGCCTGAAGAATGCCCATCGGAAGACAGGTTTCGTTTCATGTCTGGGCTCCTGGGCCAAAAGCCCCCTTGTGCCTCCTCAACTCTGCTCCGGGATGTGGGGAGCAGGAGTAGAAGGGTCTCGGCCACTCCAGCACCCCACCCGTGCCGATGGGGTGACCTGAGCTCCGCCCTGCTCCATGGCAGCGCGAAGCCCATGGAGGGGCGCCTCACCCAGGAACAGGAACGCTCGTCTCCCGGAGACTAATCAGAGTTCTGGTTGTCCCAGGGAAGGAGAAGGCCCTGATGGGGAAGCAGGGCAGCCTCAGATTTTCCGTGCATCCACCCCCGCGCTGCATTTCCCGAAATGTGGTGCAGAGCATACTCTCTGGAGTTGTCAAAGGTTCCTGTTAGGTGACCATAATCACAATGCTCTTTATCCTGTTATTAGCTCCAAGTCCTGCAGTAAAAACAACAATCAAAGTCTGTTTAACCTCGTTATTTGAGCAAAAGCCATGCACTTTCATTTTCACAGTAGTCATATTAATGTACTATAGAAGAAGTAGAAAATGGGAAATTATGCCCTAATCTGATCGAATAACTATGTGTTGATTCCCCTATGTGCTAGAAGAGGGAGTGCCAAAGCTGGTCTTTATCCTCAGCACAAACCAGGAGTGCCATTCATGGCTTAGGCCCCTTATGTTGTACAAGGCTGGGGTTCGGGCAACACTGAAGGACAGAGTGCTCCAATCTAAAAGGACCTCTTAGAAAACTCTGAAGGGGAGAGAGCAGAAGATCCAGTGAACAGAGACCCAGAGTGAAAGCCAGGAGTTATGGTTAGCCCCGCCCTGCCAGGAGTTCTGTGGTCCATGTCTTGAGTCCAAACATTTCGACTCCCTGGATCTCTGTTTTCTCATCTGCAAAATGAGGCAGTTGGTCTTAATGACCTCCACAGCCCCTTCCGTGCTAATATGCTGCAGCAGGCTGGGGCTGGGGCTGGAGCCAAGATTTAGACATGGCTGGATGGTACAGTGACATCTTTTCCCACTCCTTCTCACCTGGTTTCTGGAGCTCCAGAGAAAGTGTCCCACGGTGTCCACAGCTGAGGCTGCCTGCAGACTTGGGACAGGAGAGGAGGGAGGTGGGGAGATTAGTGACGAAAGCCAAATGTGGAGCTCCTAGGATACGGTCCAACGTCAGGAGCAAGGAGCCTGGCAGACTCAGCAGCACAGTTCCGAGTCAGGAGGAAGCAGAGGTTGCGGGTCTAGTGCGGTGGTCTCTACTACACCCAGCCACCCTGGAGGCGAGCAGACAGCTGGGGTGTCTCACCCGCCTCCCAGCCCCCAGATGCCAAGCGACCCTGTTCTAGGGCCCTGTAATTGTTACACTGGGGGCAGGGAGCCATTCTCCTTCTGCTCCCAAGCAGACCACCAAGAGTCAAATGTCCAGGAAGGCCAAACAATTTGCAGACGGGGGTGAGACGTCCTCAGGGACTTTGGGAGAAGTTGTGAGTATAAAAGACACTGAGCAGGTTGGTGTCCTGGGGCGGTGAGCAGGGACTGGGTACGCATGTTAATTTGGCCTCCTTTGGACACTCCATGAGCCTATATTAGTTTCACAAAAGCTTCAAAGGAGAACAAGACTTAAAACGGATCTGGTGACCACATTCTGGGGAGTGGCTGCCTGGGAGAGAGAGGAAAAGGGACTAGTCTCCTGAGGAGGGCCAGTGAGCATGCCTGCTGCTGACAGAGCTGACAGAGGAGGAAGGAGGCAGACCTCCGTGCTCTCTGGCTGGCACTCTGGGCCTCACCGGCTTAAACTTGGCAGGAGCAGGTAAAAATCCTGGGAGAGGTTTCCACCGTAGGCAGCAGGAGCAAAGAAGGGGAACGAGCAGTCGCTGAAGTGGAATGAGATTTGGGGACCAATCCATCAGTCAATCCTTATGCCCACCCAGAAAGTGGGCTCCAGAAAGGTGGGAGGGATTATTACACCTACAGCACAGAATGCTGGTGGCTGCCTCCTCAGTCGTCAGCAGAGCTGTCACACACAGCAATGGCATGGCCCTGCCTCTACATCAAGTAGGAGCGGCGGGGGGCCATAATGGGGGGCTATGAGGTGTGTAAGACCGTGGGGGACACGTAAAGACAAACACAAGAAATAGGCCCATGGTTACCTTGAGCCTGTCTCTTTAGACCTCCAGGTAGATGGGGCCGAGGAAATCTCTGTTCGACAAATTAGGTAGTGCCCAAGAAGACTTTGACCCCATTTGTGGGTTCTTCACCAAAACCATGATGGCCTTTCCTCTCTCCACAGGGCTGAACCCACAGCCCAGCCCATTGTCCTGTGGCCTCTGCAGCTGTGCCTCTGACCTGGGTGGGGCTGCATGTCTGGGCAGGAGAGGCTCCAGAAAGCTAGAGCTGTTGCCAGTGATCTGTCTCCAGCCTGAGGCAGGAGCCAGGCTCAATGCCAGAGCAACTTCTGATCAGTCATTAGGCATAGACTTTGCCCCAGCCACACAGTCACCTCATTCCTGCCTCAGGGCCTTTGCACTTGCAGTTCCCCTACCTGGAATATTCTTCCTCCTGATCTTCGCCTGACTTGCTGCTTCCCTCTCCATCAAATGTCACCTTCTCAGACAGCCCTTCCCTGACCACCCCGGCGAGGGTAGCCCCTGTTTACTCTCTGCTATAGTGTCCTGTTTATTTCATTTTTGACACTTACAACAGTCCATAATTTTCTTGTTTATCTGTTTATGTGTACAGAGGGCACTGGAGTGTTAGTTCCCATAAGGGAGGGGTCTTTGGTTTCTTGTTCACCACTGTCCTGAGCTTCCAGCACCACGTTTGGTGCATGGTGGGTACTTAGTAAATATCTGTTAAAGGAGCCGATAATGAATGAATGCCTTGCAGCAAGGGCTGTGGTTTCTTATCCAAGATAACCTTACCCCTGTGCTTCCCCCTTCCTAACAGAACCCCAGATTTTGTTTAGCAGCCTGTCCTACTCATGACCATGTGTTTCACTGAGCCATTTGTGGCATTCCCTTTCCCTTTGCTAATATCTGGTTTCAGAAAGGACATGTGACATAATTCTGGCCAGAGCCATGAGCAGAAGTCTACTGGGTCCAGGTAGAGGGTTCTAAAAGAGGTTTTTCCCTTCATAAAAAGAGAAGCAGACACTGCCATTTGATCTGGATAGATGCTTAGCACAGCTGAAGAACCCAGGTCCTCTATGACACTACTGAAGAACAGTACATCTTGTTATGGGCCATAATATATTTTCTCATTAGTAAGCCATTGTGAGTTGCATCTTTTGACACTTTCTTCCAAAGACATTTGAACCATAGAGACTACAGCGTATGCTGTCCCTTAGTCCTAGTGGCTGCCACTGGCCTATAGACTGGAGTCTTGGCTTTTCTCCCCTAGATATAATGTCAAATAAACATGAATTAATGAACTAGTTTCTTCCTTACTTCATCCAGACATTGAAAACCTCTGTGTACCAGGCACTGTGCTAGAAAGAGAGATTGACAAGGCATAGTCCCTGCCTCGAACCAGCCCAGATCCCATGGGAGGAAGACTCGTAAAGAGAGACTGACAGTCTAAAATGCACCTGCCACGACAGAGGGGCACAAGGTGCCACGGGGGAGCTGAGAGCAGGGGTGGGGTGGGTAAGGTGACTGAACAGTTTTCACAGAAGAGGTCGTATCTGAGCTATGTTGAACAAAGAGCAGGAGTTGCTCAGATGGACGAGCTGGCCAAGAATCTTTCAGGCAGAGGGAACAACAATATCCTATGTTCCAGAGAAGTTAAAGAGTAAGCAGGACCACTTTTTAAACATCTACAATGAGCTGAGCACTGTGCTAAGTGATTTAACATGCATTGTCCCCCTCTAATCCTTAGGACACACATGCAAGGTAAATACTGTTATCCCATTTCATAATATGGAAACTGAGGCTCCAAATAGTTGTGACTTGTCCCAGGTCATATAGCCAGAAAGTGGCAGAGCCAGGCTTTGAACTCGGACTGTCTGACTCCAGAGCCCATATTCTTTCTGCCACCCCAGCACTCCTCTTACAGAAGTGGACCCTGTTTGGAAAGCACACACCTATAGACCAACCCAGTGACCTACCTGTGAAAGAGAACACAGCACTGAGAGCAAGAGAGAGAAGTGAGTGAGCCGACAGCTGGGAGAAGGTGTATTCTGGGTGGCATAGTGTTGAGGTGGGTGGTTGATGGAGACAGTGGGCAGAAAAGAGAGAATGTAGGTGACCTGAAAATACCAATCTCTCTTAGGCTGTGTTTATTTTAAGTTGAATGACTATACTCAGGGTTGCCATCTTCTAACCATTTCCTTTCAAATCACTCTTACAGCTAAATATCATCCTAAAAATTTACCAGCCCACAAATTTTTGTTAACCAGCTTGCTACAAATATTATACAGATGGCAAAATAAATAAAACCCATTGGTAGTTATGACTAGCCTCCTTGAAATGGTAACTGGCCTTGGGCTCCCAGGGACTCGGCTTCGAGAAGACCGGCTTAAATGATGAACAGGAAGATGAAACAAACATTGCATCTCTGGGCACCATGTGGCACTGCAAGTTGGCACCCAGATCCTGCAGACACCTTGGTCTGCAAGCTTTCTTCTTCATGAAACAAGGGGTATGGCAGACACCCATCATCATAATAAAATAACAGCACCAGCTAATTTCCTGAGGCTTCAGTCTCAGCAGGGAAGGATATAATATTGCAAGCCAGCAGAAGCCAACCAAGTAGTGATACAGTAGTTCTGTTTTACATTACATTAAATGTTACTATTTCTGAAGGGAATATCTGTGGAGCACTGGTGTAACCCATAGCAACCGGCTAATAAATTGTAACTTACACTGCCTCAGCTTATTGTGGGGGTGGAGAACAGGAGGAAAAAAAGACCAAAAAAAAAAAGGCAAATGCTGGCAAAAATGCCACATTTTCCGCCTTCTCACCACCTCCCCTACACATATGCGTGCACACACATACACACACATACCACCCCCACAAATACAGGCTGTATCAGCATTCCCTAGCAAAATTACTTAAAGTGAAGCGGGACGATTAGCAGCCAAGGGTTTAGAATTTTTTACTTTCCTGTTTGTATATACGATGCCTCTTTTAAAGCTCGGAAGGTGTACTTTAAATATTTCTGACTGAGCCCTGCCCTCTGCAAGGATGACCCTCTGCATCATTTCGCAGTCTCTACTGAGGGTGACAGTGCTCAGCATCAATGGAATGGCATGTGGAAGTGAGTTGCATAGCTCACCTTTTTTTCCTTCTGTCTGTGAATAGCTCATGCCTAATTGCCCCTGTACTTCAAATTCACAGCAGGCTGGTGAGCCTTGGTCTTTGCTGTGCTGGGCTTACTCTTTGGCCTCAAGTCCCGCAGATTCCTCCCATCCATTAACTCCTGTTCCCTGAGCCATTCAGTCTTTTACACACTCAGTCAGTCTCTCCGAAGCTGCGACACTGGATCTTTATTTACAGGGAATTATTCGTGGGACGTTTTGTAGCCCTCAGACAGTGTGTTCATCTGTGTGGGCTGATTAACCCTGGACACCCCCTCCCTCTCCATGTGGACAGTGCTGAACTTCATGAAATTGCTCCCTATTCTGAAATGCCCATCACTCAGCTGCCTGGGAGAAGTGACCAATGCACCTACCACCTGAATAAATGTCACTTATCATCTTCCTTTGCTCCAGCCGTCTCTGCTGTGTGTATGGAGGAAGGGAGCCAGGGAGTGCACCAAGGCTCAGACTGGAGGGGCTCTCCTTGTCTCTTCCCAAAGGAGACGAGCATAGGGCACAGAGACGAGCTGGGACTTGGAATCAGCACTCAGGATCAAGAACCATCTCAGGCACTTACTAGCTGAGCATCACTGGGCAAAATCATTTTGCTTCTGGAGACTTATCTCCTCATCTGCAAGTAAGGACACTGCAAGTATCAGGATGCGTTTGGCTGCAGTAACGGAAATCCTAACTCACAACGCTTAAAAAGGAGGGAATCTATTTTCTCACATGGCACCTCGTAGGACAGGCTGGAGCCTCCACTTCCACTGCCCTGTGATTCCTGGGTGGATTCCTTTCATCCCCAGGGTTTCCACACCAGAGCCCGTCTCTACTGCAGTGTTGGGCTGTATCACAGTCTGTGTTTGTCTCCTCACTGAGATCTGATCCTCTTACTCATCTCTGAGAGCCCCCTGCCTCTAGCTCAGTGCCTAGCATGTGGTCAGGAGGAATGGATGGGTGAACAAATGAGCAAATGATTCTAAGTGAATGATTCCTTATAGAAGGAAAAGGAAATTTGGGGAAAATAAAAAGCTGTAATAAGTGTGAAAATGCTCTGTAAACTGTGAGATGCTATAAAAACATTAGGAAATGTTATGATTATTAATGATGACAATCATGAAGCTTCCTGTAATAGGAGCAGCCTCTTGGATGCCCATGTGAGCTCTAAGCACACCATGCTGGCAGCGGGGTTTTGATGAGACAATGGAAGAAAGATGGTTTTTCCTGGAAAAGTAGATGGCTTTTGCCTCCTAAAAAAAAAAAGACTTTAACA